ATCTTACTCAACTAGCGCCTCTTTCTAATTAAAAATAATAAGCACAATAGCTTTGAAAAAGGATGGCCCACAGAATGCATCTTAATTGAAATTAAGTGAAATGCTGAGCAGCAGATTATGTTGCAATATGCAAAACTTTCTCAAAGTATTCATCCTCAAAATTAAGTGTGCATGCACTGTGCAATTAATTACACTAGTCATTTAACCGCAATTGGAGTCGCTCCAGCAACTCTGACGTGTATAATCATAATAATCAGCCTTTTTGAGGATAAATAGCGTTCTTTTAGATTCCTTTCAAAGGTGGGATGAATCTTGATCTGTTAGGGTTTGAGCTGTCTTACTGGGCTAGTTCCTTGTTGATTATGTTCTCTGTAGACAAACCTTGGATTAAGTGAATTCACAAAAGTTACCTGATAAAAACCGGGCGAGGTTTATTGGGACTTCACTTCTGCGTATTTTGTTAAAGTGGTCAGCCCATGACAATTGAATAACAAGGAACGATAATATAGATTGAAGAATTAATGGCTTAGGATTTGATCAAAGATTGCCCCTTGTGCTATAGGGATATTCTGTTTCTAATTTAAATATTTCAAAGGGCTAGAAAAAAGGTCAATCTTCTCAAGTGTGCCAAACATTAAATCTATCTCCTTTCCTTTCCTTTCCTTTCCTTTCCTTTCCTTTCCTTTCCTTTCCTTTCCTTTCCTTTCCTTTCCTTTCCTTTCCCTTCCTCTCCTGTCCTCTCCCTCCCTCCCTTCCTTCCTTCCTTCCTTCCTTCCTTCCTTTTCTTGCTTCTTCTGCTCTCACCTCCCCATCCCCCTTCCCCTTCCCATCTGCCTCCCTGCCTACTTACATAAAACTGTCTCTCTACCAAAATCTTGCAAGTCTCCAAATGCTGTCATCTAAGATGAGAATGCTAGAAATTGAGGCCTTCTCTCTTGAAATCTTGCAAGATAAGACAAACACATGAGATTTATGGCATTTTTTTAAATCCTTCAATTGGTACTGAATTTTATGACTCCATAACTCTGTTAGGAAATTGTGAAACCCAATGGTTGATGCTTTGACATTGCCCAAAGACGTCCATTTTATATTGGGTTGTCCCATGCATAAATATATTTCTAACAGAAGTTCTCGGTGAATTATTATAAAAAAAATATATATTATTTTATAATATAAATATTATAAAATATTTATTTAAAAAAACAACGCAGAAGGAATGAAACAATAGTTAGCAACTGAATGGCAGCCTGAGTGTCTGGTTAAAATCTTGCCAGCTATGGTATTAACACCCATATTAAACATGAAATTATGTGTACAATTTAAATTAAAAGAACTGCTTCTATCTTGGCTACCCCCATCAATGAAATGATGTGGAGGGGCTAACATATTTTCCAACAGACTTCCTTGATCGAATTGAATTTCCTGAATTGTCACCACACATAAACTGGAATTGAAGATAGGATCTCCCATTATTTTAATGAGGAACTTGGATCTTCCAAGACTGTTCAACAGAACACATATGAGAAGAACTCCGTAAGAATCTCATACTGTGAGATTCAAACATTGACGTGTTAAAAAAATGATATTGTCATGATTCCAAGAATTACACTCAATTTATCAGAAAGTGAAGCTGTATCTCTTCAGCATACTTCCTCATTCATTCATTCATTCTTGCCACCCAATTCAATCAAGCGACTCTGGGTCAGTGGTGGTATTCAGCTGGGTCTATCCAATTCGGGCGAACTGGTAGCGGCGGTGGTGGGAGGCTCCGCCCACCCACCCGTACGTCATCACATCCCGTTTTAACGCTCTGCTCATGTGCGGAAGGTCCTGCGTGCGCTCACATTTGCGAACCGGTAGCGATGGTAAGTGAATACTACTCCTGCTCTAGGTGGCTTATAACAATTAAACAATTTAAAAGACAGTAAAACAATATTTGTTCTCACTATACCCAAAGCACAAGGACAACCAGCGGTGAAATCCAACTGGATATATCTGGCTCGTGTGAACCGGTAGCGCCGGAGGTGGGATGCTCCGACCACCGCTGGGACGTCATTACGTCCCGTTTTTGACCTTCTGCGCATGTGCAGAAGAGGCACGCAATAGCACATGTGCTGTGTGCACACGCTCCCATTCCCGAACCAGTAGCAAAGGTAAGTGGATTTCACCGCTGAGGACAACCCATGGAAAATGTGCTGATTTCTCTGGAGAAATTAATATTCCAACACAGTCAGTTGCATATTGCTTTAAGCCAAGGAAAAAAGAAATGAAAACATTACAGTATTCCTAAAGAATGGCACCTCAACCCCAAATATTGTCATCCAAAATGTCCTTTGTGAAATGAAAAACATCTGTATTTCTTTTGCTACACATCTTTCTCCTTTAATAAAATGGCCGTTCTATTTTTCTGTTTAGGTAAGGAAATATCTCTGAAAGGGAAGACCCAGAGGGTCACAGGTTGTCCAGTAACGCAATACAATCTGACATAGCATTTATCACAAACGCTCTAGGTAACTACAGAATCTGTAGGTTTTAAACACAAGAACAGTTCTACAGATTTTGGGTATTTTTCATGAACACACCTTGAATTGACTTAGGAAATGAACCAGGGGTGGGCTTCAGATCCTTTAGCAATGGGTTCGCTGCCCCGTTACTGGCTGGCCATGGCCATTGTGGGCGTGGCCTAGTTGGCAGCCTGCACTACGGCGGGGGGGGGGTGTTTTTCGCCCTTCCCAGGCTCCAGAGGCTTTCCTCAAACCTCCGGGAGGGCGAAAACTGCTTCCCCCAGCTCGGGAGCCCTCTGGAGGCTGGAAACAGGCCCATTTCCGGACTTCCAGAACCTCCGGTAGGCCCGGTTTTTGTGCTCCCAGACCCTCCGCGCAGCCCCTGCTCTTATCTGGAATGATGAAAGGGCTGTGTGGAGATTCCTTGGAGGGGAGGGACAGGGAAGGGTGGGGCGGGGAAGGGAGGGGCGTGGTGGGCATGGCCAGCCAGAGGTGGCATTTGGGATTCGCTGAACCCTGGCGATCCTTGGCTAGAGGATAGCCCGAACCCTGCCGAACCCTCAGGAGCCCATCCCTGAAATGAACCAACCAAATAGAATAAGCAAGCTTACTTAATCTATCAATCGTAATTCGAAATGGTCACTTCCATCTTCTCTAACTCATTAGAAACTATTTAAAAGCAGGACCATTGTGTTCATCCAAGAAAAACTCTTTCGCATGAAGGCAAATGTACGCGTGTCCCAGAATAAATTTGCAGGATTCAATCTGAGTCAGTCCACTGGGACAACAGGTTTAGTCTTTCAAGATTTTGGGCTCATGCGGGAGCCCATTTACAGAGAACTTCACTCTCTCCACAATGTGTGTGCACTAGGTTGATTTGTGTAGTATTTATGCGGTGCCTGGTTGTGAGTGGCTTTTAGTTGTTAATTGGGGTGTTGATGGCTGCCTATTAAGTCATTCGTTGTTGTTTCTTTGTGCTGCCATATTGTTGGCTCTTAAGTACCCAAGTATGTGGCAGCACAGGAAACAATAACCAATGACTTAATAGTGTAGAAAGTTAGCACCCACCCCACTCCTAGAAGAATGAAATATTCTAAGAAATATTAAAAAGGCAGAATATTTCCCCTAAAAGAGAAATAAAAATCTTAAAGGAAACAGAACCAAAAGACCCCAGCTCCCTGCCCCCAGCAGATATTTTGATGCCAACTTATCTACAGACAAAAGACTGGGCCAGTCTATCTACAAAACAAAAGACCTCAACCCCAGGATGATGGGATTATCCTTCAGGGCAAAGCCATTCAGCCACAATAGGAAATTGCCCTTCATTGCATCACCCAGCAAGATTCAACCAAGCCTGGGACACAGACTGCCTACAAAGTTAGCTAAGACCATCCGCCCCCTGGGAGTCTGACAGCCAATAGGATACATTTCTTGCACAGAAACAGGAAGCTCAAAGGCAAGGCCTAAGAGAGGGTATAAATATATATCTCTCTCTCCTCCATGTGTTCAGCTATCTAGAACCTAAAACCCATGTGGTCCTGTTCACCATTAAACCATCTGTCAACTTGCAAAGCTTTCAAGTTGCCATGAGCAGGAGGGAGGGAGAACTGATAGAGCTGATTGATTTCCCTAACTGAAGTTACATTCCATACATTCTTCCTGACCGCAATCAGAAGGAGGGTGTTGGATTTCACAGCCAGCCAAAGTGGTTAATTGGAGAATGTGATTTATGACATGGCCAGGGAGGAGGGGAGAGACAGGGTCATAGGGGAACGTAAATCTACGTGGGATTAGTTCTAACTGCATCCGAATATTGCCGAAATGGTGCTTCTAATAAATGACTGTATTTCTTTTGAAGTTCGGCTCATGGCTCATGAATTAATTAGGGCATCTTTCGGAAACTTCACAGACAGTTAGAACTAATCCCACTTCACACCATCTTTCCAAGCAGTCTCCATGTTTCCAGTGTCTTTCTCCCCACTTGGAATTGAACCCAGATGAACATTTCTTCCAACAATTGTAAACTATCAAGATCCCAGTTAACAACCAAAAGCCATACACAACCAGGCACCACATAATGTAAATACTACACACAGAACAGCCCAGTTCCCTCAGGATAGGCCCAGTGGTGGGTTGCCCCCAGCTCGAACCAGTTCGCAAGAACCGGTAGTAAAACTGGCAGGAGGCCCCGCCTACTGCCCCAGATGTTGTCATCAGTGATATCTGCGCATGCGCAGAAGCGCAATCCCGTTGCAAACCAGTAGTAAAGGTAAGTAGAACCCATCCCTGGATGGGCCCCATCATGAATCCAAAAGCTTAGAAGATTAAATCTCTGGTCCCAATGACCGACTCAGATTGAATGCTACGAGATAAGCTCTTTTTCCAATATAAATTAGAAATAATAAATTAGACCTGGATATAACGAACCATTTGGACCACAACTGGACAACGGATTGGCTTTCAGTTATATAAAGCTGTAAGAGTCAGACGACTTACTGGTGCAGGTCTTGTTGAATTTGGGGTTCTCCTGAGGGGACCCCTTCAGTCGGCACTGGAACCGGTGCTGCCAAAATTCCTGAAACCATGGATTTCGCTGGTTGGTTTCTGGCTGAAGCTTCAGGTAATAATCATCAAACCATTTCACACCTGGAGACTGGAGCTTGATTGTTATTCCACCAGCAGCTTCACGTTGGTAGCCATCTGTCACATCATACCTGTCGGCCCAGCCATCACTGCAGAGATTTTAAAAAAATAATAATAAAAGGATAAATGTTTTAGTATGGAGAAGGCTCCTTTGAACCATGAAAGGGAATTACTGGAATATATTCTTGGCAATAACCAGGGGATCTGAAGTTAACAAGGGCTATGGAGCAGACGAAGGCACAGAAGACTCATTCCAGTCTTCTTATGCCTAAATCAGGGGTCAGCAACCTGCTGCTCTGGAGCCGCATGTGGCTCTTTTATCCTTCTGCTGTGGCTCCCTGTTGCTGGTCAGCTCCACAATTGATAGGGCTTTTGGTTAGGACAGGCAGAGGAAAAAGGATGCCACGCTAGGAGGAGACTAAGATGGGGGAACCGGACTTCCGGTCGGCTCCAGAATTGAACGGGGGATTCCGGTTAGGACCTTTGTGGCTCTTTGAGTATTTAAGGTTGCCGACCCCTGGCCTAAGTGCATGCAACGCTTAGGGTTCCTTCAGGTTTAAATTGTTTATGTCTTCATTGGAAGTGAGTTGAGTTTTGGTCTCTTCTCCTGGATAGCAGCTCATATTCCAATTCAGAGGAAGAGTCACCAGCCAAATTAGATCAACCTGTTCTGACCTAGGCTTCCTTAAAAAGCATGAAGCAGAGTCTTGGTCCCGGCAAAACCCCTTTTATTTACACGACTGTGAATTCCTTTCATTCACAGTCAGCAAGGCTTGGCAAACAGTCTTTAAGAGGAATATTTATCAGCACAATCCTTATCTTGCTTGGAAAGCTGCCAGATAACTAGTTTCCAAATGCAGTGTAAGGCAAAAATTGGCATTGAGTCTCTTAGAGTCACGGACAGAACTTTCCACTCTTGAAACGACCGACCGACTGAATTGTTTCCTGCAAAAGCCCACTCCCCGTTTGCTCCTCTTTTGTTTCCTATGGGAGGGGCCAATCACCTTCAAGGTGTGGCTTTACTCCCAAGTTGACCCTGCTTTCTGAGTTGTGTTTGTCTTCTGGCAGCTCTGCGCATGCACACACTGGGAACAGGCTCCAGCTGTTCCTCTGCCTCACTGCTGTTTAGCTCCCTCTCTGCCTCCGATGGAGAGCCCTTGTCCAAGCTTTCCCTAGCTCTCAGGACTGGCCCATGTTCCTCCCCAGTCTCCTCACTATCCGACTCTGCTGCCAGCTCCGGAGGCTGGCGACGGGCCACAACACAACTAGAAGTATCAGGTGGAAAGCATCAGACTGAAAATTTGGACCTATCTAGAATTATTTGGAACCTGTGTCAGACATACATACCCCCTGAGGTCCATACTTCTCAGCAATTATTCCAATTATTAAGGCAACACGCCTAGAATGAATTAAATTAATAATTTGAAATGAAGGCTAGAAGAGTATCCTTATAAGGAACAGGAGCTAATTCATAAGACAGATTTGTTAATTTATTAGTTCTGGATGGTTCCCAGAATGCTGATTATGATTTCTCATGAGATTAAGCATTATGATTGTACAATTTAATATTTTGTAGGAGTTTAATTCCAGGGTCACTCAACATTTTTGCTGTAATTGCTTACGAGGTTATGAGGTTTGTTTTAAATTTTTGATCTGGTGTCACCCATTGGTTGTTTGTTTTTTTGTTTTAACTTCTGGGAATGTGGACCCATTATACTAGTTAAATATATATATGAAATGTTGAACCTTTGCTATGGAATTGACTGAAGCCACCTTGAAATGTCAGTGGTACCCTGATATATTTTCACAAAAAGTCTTTTTTAAAAATGGTTTCGCATCAGCGGTGAAATCCTCTGAAATCTACTACCGGTTCTGTGAGTCTGCTACTGAGTGCGTGCTTTGCGCATGCATGTGCTCTTCGCACACATGTGAGCCTGAGGCACGCCCACGCAGTACTAAAAAACGAACATTTTGAAGCCTTCCAAGTCTGCAAAGGTAAGTAGAACAGTAAGGGGGGGGGAATCCGCTGAGCCATGAAATCAGGAAATCTGACGATTCTAGCTAATATAAATTGCACGTCACAGCTGATCGTTGCTCAGCTGATCGTCGGAAATACCGGTTTGGGCGAACCGGTAGCATTTTTTATTACCGGTTCAAACGAACCGGTCTGAACCAGCAGCATTTCACCGCTGTTTCACGTGTCTTCTGAATTTGCCTAGGTTCTCTTTTTCCTAATATGAAACTCATGTTTCTATAACTCACACGAGCTTGTAGATTGATGAAATAATCTGTGAGATAATTTCTTGGAATATTATAAATTTGCAGATTAAGATGCTCTTAAAAACCTATTTGGAAGCTCAAACTTTTTAGTAGCAGAGAATACATGTAGCTCAGGTTGAATTGTTGGGTTCTTGGCAAGCTTTTTTTTTCTTTTTTCTTGCAGATATTTCATTTCCAGGCTAGGTTGCCCGGGGCAGCCCAATGTATCCCACAGGAACTGGAATTTTAGCTAGTGTGGTTTTGCTGAATGACCAACAATATACTTCCTTCAAAGTCACGCCCCTATTTTTAACATAAAACCCTTGGTTATTGATTCACTTTAGAGCCAAATTCAAAGTTTTGGTTTCGTACTATAATATTTTTTTTTTATTATTTGATTTATATGCCGCCCTTCTCCGGAGACTCAGGGCGGCTTACAATGTGCTCAGCAATAGCCTTCATCCTTTTGTATATTTTATACAAAGTCAGCTTATTGCCCACACAACTGGGTCCTCAATTTACCTACCTTAGAAAGGATGGAAGGCTGAGTCAACCTTGAGCCTTGGCGAGATTTGAACCTGCAGTAATTGCAGGCAGCTGGTCTTAATAACCAGCTTAATAACAGGGTGCCTTAGACCACTGCACTACCAAGGCTCATTTTGCATGTTTTAAGTCCGTGATGGCGAACCTATGGCACGCAGAGCCCTCTCTGTCCCCAGCTGCTCTTCTGGTTTCCGGTATGCACAGCCAGCTGGGCTTGGCGGGTGCCGGAGAGGAAAACGGCTTGAAAATGGCTCGGAAAATGGCTGTTTTTCAGGACATTTTTGGGCTGTTTTTCAGGCTATTTTCAGCTACTTTTTCATGCTGTTTTTCAAAAAACAGCCCAAAAACCGGCGCAAAAACCGGCCTGAAAATGGACCGAAAAACAGCCAAAATACAGGCATGGATGCATGCCAGACAGGTGGTCAGGTTTCTGGTGCTCCAGTGCACGCACATACACACATGTTCCGGTTTGGGCACTTGGTGCCGAAAAGGTGTTTTAAGTTATTTTTAAGGACTGTCTCCTGTAATAACCTGTCTGAACCTGAAGATTATTCAGCAAAGGGAAAGGGTGGGGCACTTTAGTTATGGAATTGTCTCTCCAAAAATACACTCTTCTTCCTTGACCATATTATCTCCCATCTTCTCCACACCTACAGTTTTCAGATGTATGGAAATTACAATTTCCAAAATGTCCAGCCCATCTGGCCGTCATTCAGTTACTGGTTGAAGATGTTTAGGCCACACTTAAAGCACTGGAAATTATAGCTTTTAGTATGGTTTACCTGAATCAGTATTGTCTTATTTCTTTATTGAATTTAAATGTCTTTTGGTGTGTTTTTACTGTTTTTTTTATTTTGTGTTGAAAATCGCCTTTGAATTAATATCAGCAAGAGCTAGATCATGTCAGAGAGAGAGAGAGACAGAGAGAGAGAGAGAGAGGGAGAGAGAGAGAGGGAGAGAGAGAGAGAGGAAGGAAGGAATTATGAAAGGAAGGAAGGCAGGAGGGACGGAGGGAAGGAGGGGGAAGGGGAGGAGAGGAGAGGAGAGGAGAGGAGAGGAGGGGAAGGGAAGGGGAAGGGAAGGAAAAGGAAAAGGAAGGGAAGGAAGGGAAGGGAAGAGAAGGGAAGGAAAGGAAAGGAAAGGAAAAGGAAAGGAAAGAAAGGAAAGGAAAGGAAAGGAAAGGAAAGGAAAAGGAAAGGAAAGGAAAGGAAAGGAAAAGGAAAGGAAAGGAAAGGAAAGGAAAGGAAAGGAAAGGAAAGGAAAGGAAAGGAAAGGAGAGAGGAGAGGAAAGGAAAGGAAAGGAAAGGAAAAGAAAAAAAAGGAAAGAAAAGATAAAAGAAAGAAAAGAAAAGGAAGACAGAAAAAGAGAGCTAGAGAGAGAGAGAGTAATAGGGGGAAAAGAAGAAAGAGAAGAGACAATGTGTAAGGGGAAAAAAGAAGAAAATATGCCCTTTAAATATTTCTGCCTTTGGTCTTATTCACCACTGGAATCTGTCTTTTCTCAAATTGTCACAAAAGCTGGATCCTAAAAAGGCAGGGAGACATGAGAGAAAGAAGATTGGTTCCCATGTCTGGTTTAGCAGCCGTTCCTTCAATTTGTTCTTATATACTTCCTCCCTGGCACAGGCAATCCTTTTTATGGATAAATTACTGTACAGTTCAATTTCCGTGAGCTTCAGCTGAAAGTTCTGCAGCCGAACCTTCATTGAAATTCCTGGCTGATTCCCCCACACAAATCAGACGAAATGAAGAAAGAGGGATTACTTCACCCACCAGTGAGAAATCCTGGAATTACTGGAAGACAACTTTGTCCAATGATGCAACTGGTTTATTGCAGGATGAAAATAATGTAACAGAGCAACTATTTGTCCAAAGTTCTGACAGTTTATTGGGGCAGTAAAAACAAGGGCAGGAAATGAGTTACATCAGCTTCAAACGTCTATGGAGATTTTCATCCAGGTCATGGTTGTCCCAAAGGTGCTTTTTCAAGAGGCAATTGGTCTTTCTTGTTATTCTTTGAAGATGTTTTGCTTCTCATCCAAGAAGCTTCTTCAGCTCTGATAGGATAGTGGGGAATGGAAGGGTTTATATTCCTTGCAGACAGCTGGTCATTTGCATCCTTTTGGAGAGTAGTTGAGGCCACTTGGACCAAACTTTTTAAACAGGGGGCTAATTCACGGTTCCTCAGACTGTTGTGGGGGGCCGGACCGGCTGGGTTGGTGGGGCTAGGTGGTCATGTGACTAGGGGGGCGTGGCTAGGTGGGCATGTGACTAGGTGAGCATGGCC